TTCATTATTTTTCTGTTTTTAATATTTTGAGTCTATAATATAAAAAATAAGTGTTATTGTTTAATTTTAATATGACTTTTCTATGAAAAAAGTATAAAACTAATATTAAAAATGATGAAATCATTTGTTTAAGATATTAGAGGAAAAGTGTAAATTTTATTGCCACAAATATCTTGATGAATTTATATAATATTAATATAAATAAAAACAAATTAAAAAAAAAGTAAGTTACTGCTTAAAGGAAGAATGCAAGAATAGCAACAACAGCAAGAACCATTGTTGAAATAGCACCACATTGATAATGTACTCCTTCAACACAGCTATCACACTTGAATAATTGAGTGTGTGTAGTTCTGTCACCATCGCAATTTTCACCAGAATAAACATTTAAAAAGAAGGATCCGTCTTCTTCTTCTCTTTTACAAGAACTTCCTTCGCAAGGATAGCATGCATCAGTGTAATAAAGTCTAAAAGTATTATCCTTATGTGAACAATCAGCGTCATCTGGCATAACAGATTGGAAAGCAACATGTTCAGGAGCTTTTGTAATAGATCCAGTACAAGTACTTCCTGCTACACTTCCATATGCTGAACAGAAACTTTCAACAAAATCATTGACTGATTCTTCAGCTTCTTCACTAGTTCCCTTACAATCAGCTTCATTATAAAGCTTACCTTTAATATTGTCACCACTCTTAGATAATTTTATTGATGCTCCTTCTTCTCCAGCTCCCATATAATAGCATGTTCCAAATTCAAATTTTAAAAAGGTAATTGGATTACCATTGCTGTCTCTATCAGCACTCATAACAATAGAATCCTTAGCTAAAGCAATTGCAATGAAGAATACTAAACAGAACATATTTATATGATTTATAGTTAATCAGTTTCTAGTTTAAATATCTACTCTTAATTTCTTCCTTTTCTTGTATTTTTTTTTTATTGTCTATATTTTTGTTGGAAGTTCATTTATTTTTTTCCTCATTCGCTTTTTTATTCTTTTAGAACGAAAAAGAAACAACTAAATGAAGATAATTTAATAAAAATATTTACTTCATCATTCTTCAACTTATTTGTTTTTCTGCAGAATATTCTTATGGAGTATTTGTTCATCGTATTTCATTTGTTTTGTTGTTATTATTTTAATTTTATTGAAATATTCTTCATTCATCATTTTTTTTGAATTTTTTTTATTAAACAAAAAGTTTGTAATTCTAAAGAAGATAAAGAATTTCGAAATTATTCTTTTTTTTAGAAAAAAACATTTTTTATTCAATTTTATAAATTCCTTTAACCGATTATTTCTTTTCCCATATTCATTAGAGATGATTTACATTGAAGTAATTTCCTAATATTTATTTTTTACTTTCTTGTAAAATAAAAAAATTAATGTAATATTATATTAATTTTTTTTATTCGTATTTTTTTTTCTTCCAAGAAGATAGTAGATAAAACATTAAAATAGAATAAGTGAATGAAAAATTCATTTTTCACATTTTTTTGATGATGGTTAATTACAAGAAGTTATTTACTAAATTTATCTAGTGAAATTTTTCTTTCCTTTATGACACTTACTGTTGTAACCAGTTAATACAGATAAAAAAGATTAATTAATATTTCATCATAAAAAGTATTTTATAGCAGTTGCTAATCCTTTTATTTACATACGAATAGATAAACATCTAGAGTTGTTCAGTTCTAAACTCTCTCTTGTAAATAGTCTATAATTACCTACTATAATTGTTTTCAAAAGTACATTTTCATAAAACATTTAAAGGTGTATTCATTTAACAAAACATCCTCTATAAGACTGGTTTATTTTCTAAGACATAATCTAATTTTTGAAAATGCTAAACTATTAAACTTTATAAAAAAAACAAATTAATACTTATCTTTGTTTAATAAAAAATAAATAACTAAGTGTTAATAGAATTGTCATTCATTACTTAATGGATATAATCACATTTTTCATTATTAAAATGAATATTTTATTTGTTTTATTTATTATTTAGTTTGTCTTCTTGTTTTGTGAATAAATCATTTTTCTTTCTTCTTATTTCTTTTTTAAATCTTCTTCTTTGATTTTTATTCTCATTGAATTATCATTTATTTCT